ACCTTGAGTCCAGAGAGGGCAGACCGAGTGGGCCCACTGGAAGATTTGGATCTGAGGCAGGCCTCCCTGTGTGTTCTGGGGCAGGCAGCCCAAGGAAACGGAAAGTCAACAAGGGTGAGTGCTCTCTGCAGCAGCCCTGAGCTCCAGAGCTAGAGGGATTTGGGGGTAGCAGGTGGCTCCATCGTCGCTGACTGTGTGACCCTGAGCAAGTCACTTCTTGGGCCTTAGCGTTTCTGCCTGGAACACGGGAGTAAGTGCCCACATCCAAGGGCAGCTGGAAGCGTCAAGGAAATGTGTGTAAGATGCTGAGCAGCGTCCCCTGACACGTGGTAAGCTTCCAATCCCACGGGCAAGGGACTGTCACTAGTTGACAAAGGAAGTATCCCGTTCAGAACTCGTTCCCGCGGGGAGAGGTCAGAACCTGCCATCCAGGGTTGCTTACAAGACCCCTGCCTCTGTCCAGCAGGGACGGTCCGGCTGGGCCCACCATCGTCTTCTTCCTCTTCTAGGGTGCCCCATTCAGGCCACATGGCCATCGAGGGAGATGTGCCAGGCCAGGCACACCACATCCCACCCGCTCGGGTACAGCCATGGTGACATTTGTTGCTGCACGGCAGACTGCTGGTGCATGTGGCTATTCACTGCAGGTGGAGACCCGGGTGCGATGTCTGGAGGCTGGACGGTGTCTGAAGGCTGTGTGCTGCAGCTGCCTGACAATGCAGAGCAAACCTCTCTGTAAAGCACCCGTGATAGCATCCCCATAGTACAGATGAGGAAGCCGAGGCTCAGAGGGACGAACGCACCCAGACAGGAAGCCAAAGAGATGGGCGGCTCACGTCCTAGCAGCGCCTGGGCTGGGGCACAAGGGGGGGGGGCCTCTGTCTGCAGAGCTCTCAGACCTGATGAGGACCTGTGCGTACTGTGTGCTCACTCAGGGCGTGCACCCTGCACTCCCTGGACAGGGTCTGTGACCTAGGCTGGCCTCAGGAAGGGCAGAGGAGCCCAGCTCAGACAGGGACTATTAATACCCAGTGGCCTGCGTCAGCATCTTGGGCTGGCAGGTGCTGTGTTCTGAGGGCCACCATGCTGGGGAGAGCTGTGGGTCCAATGTGGTTCTGGCTTACCAGTGGTTAGGATCTGGTCTTGCGGCTCTGGTGTTGCTGTGACAGAAATCCCACAAGTGGGCGGCTAACCGACAGATGTGGATTTTCTCAGCGTGCGGGTGGCCAGAAGCCCAAAGGCAGGGGAAGGTTTCTTCTCTTGTTCATTGGTTCCTAGTGGGGGTCTTCATTTGGTGTGGCACCTCTCTTCCTCGTCTCAGCCGGCTTCTAGGTGCCCAATCTATTCTTTTTTAAAAATCATTTTATTGGGGGCTCGTACAATTCTTATCACAATCCATCCATCCATCCATTGTGTCAAGCACAAATGTACATTTGTTGCCATCATCATTCTCAAAACATTTGCCTTCT